TTAACATGATGTCACTATATCAACTATATCATACCAGTAGTACCGCACAAGGCGGTGGCGGAAGTTTCAAAAATAGGAAACCTATAGGAGAGGTTGGTTGTTGTGAATCACGGATGGCAGAGCGAATCCACTGATGGACCGAAAGGTGGTTGAAGTTGTGTTTTTTGGAGTGGTTGCAATGGTTTCAACTTCCCATAGTTAGGTGGGTTTACAAATCAACAAACATAGCCATATCTATAGTTTATAACCCTGCCAAATAGGGCTTAGGGTAGATATATCTATAGTTAATGGGTTGGAACCTATCCCATATGATGATATTTAACATCTAACATGATTTCAACTATCCCACATTAAACTATTCACTATCAGTATTCCCATATGATGGATTTAAGATGATTTAACCATATCAACTATGTCAGCTTCCCACATATTTGCATGGTATCCCTCTGGAAAGACTAAATCCTCTGGTAATTTAACATAGCTATATTGTAAAATTTAGTTCTTTATTCACCTCTAAAAGGTAATGATTTTCCATAGCTAAGTGTTAGTTACCGGAGGGTATCCCATATGGTTTTTAGCATGATTTAACCACCAAAATCGTGGTTCAACAAAATTCGCAATTTAACTATGACGAGCATGGTGAAAAGGGGATAATCATGAATCGCACTTTAACTATGACAAACATTTTCGTAATCTAACTATGGTTATTACCTTGTTTCATCATTAACCATAGTTACAATGTGAGGCCCCCCAGTTATAAGTTAGTTTATAAGCCCCAGTAACTATAGTTATAAGTACCATAAACCATAATTATTGGAGTTATTTGCACCAACTGAACGCTATCGAACGGGGGCCTCACATTGTATAATCCATTTGTAAATGGGATAATCCATGGGGACTTTCGAGCCACGGGTATTTTTCAACAAAAAACACGGGCCATGGGACGATTTTGCATGCGCGCGACGAAGAAAACACATGGTAAACCAACAGTTTGCTATTAAAGATGGCCCATTTAGTTCGTGGGTTTTACCATATGTTCCTATATTTTTCCATGGTTTACCCTCTGGTAATTTAACATAGCTATTGAAAATGGCCCATTGAGTTCGTTGATTTACCCATTCATAGCATGGTGGATCTTTCCATAGTTATTTCGGACAGTTTACCAGAGGGTAACCAAAAAATATGGGATTGAAGCATAAGCCAACCACTTTTTTCCAAAGTAGACAAACAAATTAGGATTTCACCAGCCAAAACGGGGTTTTAACCAGCCGAAACAGGATTTCACCAGTAGAAATCAGTAGAATTCGTCATTTTGACTAGCAAACATGGTGTTTTTTTTAACGGACATGATTATTTAATCAACCCATATAAGATTGAATCATGTAACATTGGGAATATGTAACCAACAATATGTAACATATAGTCATATAGTTGATTGATTAGGGATTTAATCGTGATTTATCCATGATGGAACAGGTTAACTATCAAACATCATGGTGGATTGATAAATGCATCAGGTTTTCTAACGCAAATCCAGGTCTAGTGAGTTGACCAACTGAATGGGTAGGACTGTACTGGGGAGATGCTTACCAAACTTGTGCAAAGCAGTTTGTTGTTTTTTTAACCAGGGTAAACATCTCCCCAGATTGGCCACCTTCGGAACAGACGATACACCATCTTCATCAAAAAATATATGGAAATCTGGTTGGTGGTTTGGAACATGTTTTTTCATAGGGAAGAATCATCCCAACTGACTTTCATATTATTCAGAGTGGTAGGTCAACCACCAACCAGTGTTTCTTAAACATCTATTGAATAACATGGATTTCATGGCGAAACCATTGGGGGCTCTATGTCTATGTTGGTTTACTCAAAGATGGAGTGATGGTCCCTGATTCTTGGGATACCCTTTGGTAAACTAACATAACCATGGAACATCACCATTTTTCATAGGTAAATCAACTATAAATGGCCATTTTCAATAGCAAACTGTTAAATTACCAGAGGGTAGTACTGTAACTGGATTTGAAACAACATACACGGGATTTCAGCAGCGATTATATCTACCATAAACCATAGAATACAACCACTTTTTTCAGGCAACTTAGCTATCTTGGGGGCCCCCATTCCTGTATCAATCACTAATATTAATGGAATGATGGGAACGTGCTATTAATCACCATTAGTTCATTATGATTAACACTATAGTGACGCATCATGATTATTGACCATTATAATCACTATTCCAGTATATTCCAGTAATCAATATTAAGTCAACAATTTGAATTGCTCCCCATTATTGACCATGATATTCACTATTATAGCCTATTAATCACCGAATTGACAATTATTGTAGATGAATTAATCACTTATATGCAAGGTGGGGCCCCCCAGTTATAAGATGGTTTATAAACCCCATGAATACTATAGTTATAGTTACCATAAACCATAGTGAAATTGGAGTTATTTGCACCAACTGAACGCTATCGAACGGGGGCTTCACTTTGTGGAGGTTTCCTGAAACAGAGGTATCCACCCTGTAGCCTCCCCAAGTGGCCCCCGAGGTGCATTCCGGACCACTGGGGCAGTTGGCCCCAGCACGTCGCAGCCGCGGGCGGCTTCTCACGGTTCTTGGGGGTCTTGGTCACTGGGCGATGGGGCACCAGGTTGGAATGGCCAAGGTGGTGAGAACATTGATCTTAAACATACCCCTGCAGGATGGGGCCCCCAAGATAGCTAAGTTGCCTGAAACAAGATGAAGCCCACGAACCCGAATGCTCACACGTATGTGGAAGATAACGATGTTAAAGTATCGATGATGACAGAAGATGAAAATGTTAATGCTCACACCTATCGTAGAACAGTGGAACAACGTCATTGCTCCGATTCTGTTTTCTCTCCGCGACAGCATCACTGGCGTCGCAACGCAGTGGTGCGCGGCAAGCGTCGCCTTCCAAGACATGCAAGCCACGCGATGCGAACATATCACACATGAAGCATTTTTTTTGGAATCGCAGGCGTCGAAGCAACAAGATAAAATGTAAGGATCAACAAACCAGAAAGCATCGGGGACGCGTTGAAACTTTCAAGTGGGTCGAGGACATCGCCGCCTGACGTCCTGTAGTGGCACCAAGAACAGTATTGCCGATGCCTCCACAGCATCGGTGTTGCAAAGCTGCACCGCGACGCAGTCATCACCTGCCAGAACATACGAGCCGCACGAGGCACAGTTGCAGCTGACGAATCATTTCATCAGTTATGGAAACAGTTTCATCAATAACGACAAGCAGATAACAAACCCCCAAGAAAGTAATCACATCTCTTGCTGACCTGTCCAGGAAATCATATCATCATCAGATTGCGAAAGGAACAGGGACGTCTTTCTACGAGTGCAGACGGCTGTAACACGTCCAGCGAGCTGCTCAGCAAGACAACGGGGACAGCGCCGCCGGCTGTCGCTCTGTACACAGCCAAACGGATTTTGGGCATGTCCAACTTCTCGCGAAGACAACGGAGTCACCGCCGCCAGCTGTCACCCTGTTGCCTGCGCAAGATCCGCTGTGAGAATTGCTTCCACACGCACGTCGGATCTAACCCGAGCGACCTGGCGGACCCAGGGCTCCACCGGGCAGACCGTCGAGGCTGTTGCAAAAAAAAATGCGGTTGCATGTTGAGTGGTTGAGCATGCTGTGTGTTGAGAAATAGCGTTGCGTTTCGACCTGCGCGGTCTTTTTCCAGGCTGCCCGCTCGGGCAGCCTGGCCCACCCTCCCTACCTCCCCACATGGGGCCTGCCAGCAACTCTGCTGCAAAACTTGCAACAGAAGCACCACCGGGCCACAGCAGAGGAGCTCCAGCATGGGAAAGTTCAGTCATTGGAAGCAGCCTCCGGAAGCAGCATTTTTTCAGTGATGACTGTGATGATGGTCCATCACAATCATCACTGAAAAACTTCTCCCATGTATTGTCAAGCGACGAAAGCCAGGTGCTAGCCGCCAGATGTCGTGAAAAGCATCCACAACCAATAATGCAACATGTTGCAATATCTCTAAAACCCCCCTCCGTCATGAACTGTGAATGCTTGGCGTTCTCTTGCAATTGAGCACAGCCGAAATCACACCTCTACAAACAAAGATCTTCAACAACATCGCTGTCAAACTTCATCCCTGAATCAGCAACACTCCCGTGCATACGACATTTGCTTGGATATCTGTCACGAACATTCGAAAATCACCGTCTTGCAATATCTCTATAAACCCCCTCTGTCATTAACTGTGAATGCTTGGCGTTCTCTTGCAATTGAGCACAGCCGAAATGTTTGCCGACACAGAACCGAATATATATATATATATAGACGACACTGTGTGAAATCTGTATGAGTCCAGACAACAACTTTCCACCTTCAACATAATCGCACTCTTGCCATATCTTTATAAACCGCAAGCCTCACTGAGCCAACCGTCCAGTACATTCGAAATTTGAAACATTCGAAATTCGAAACATTCGAAATTTGAAACATTCACCACCACGCACCTCCCAAAGCAGCGCCGCGCAGCAATCAGCACCTGCCAGAACATGCGAGACACGTGATGCAAAGTTGTTGAATCTTTTCACAACGACTGGTGGTAATGTCATAACTACATCTCACATCTCAACCACGCTGACAGTCACCGGCGAAGCTCGTGCATGACACAAGCATGTGCGGCTTGACATCAAGTTTTCAATGCATGGAAAGCTTGACAATCTCTACCGTTGACAGCGACGTGTCAGCTGAGACTAACGTGCTAAGTCCACGATGTCAACTTACACTGTCAACATCATTCACATGAAGTTGTATATTCTGCAATTCTTTATGTATACAATCAATTCGAATATAACACATCGAAGCAATCCAAAAAACAAAAGTCATCGACATCGTCATCGTCATCAGCATCATCGTCGTTGTCAAATGTCATTCGCATTCAAGAATCTAGGTGTATGTAACTCAACCCTTCAAATCTAGATGGCCTTTGGTTTGCTGTTGTCTTTTTGGCTGAAAATCTATAGCGACAAATACTCCGGCGGCGTTGTCTTTTTGGCCTTTGGCAAGGTCCGCTGTGGAGACATGGCATTGGCTTTGGTGGGTGCTGGGCCAGGCGGCGCTATCCCCGACTTGGTTGGTGCGAGCCATCCGCCTCTTGATGGTGGCGCCATCACTGGCCATGGCGGCGCAGCTTTGTGTCTGTATGCTGGCCTGACTCAGCAGCAGGCAGTCCAGTTCGAAACGATGGGCCAAGTGGAGGCACCCATTGGTCGCGGCGGCCAGGCATACTGGGCGCTGAAGACGACGGGGGGCAGCTGCGGCCCAAAGTGTTGTCAATGCGCACCCGGGGATGGAGCCTGTGGATGTTGTGTTGAAGCCGGTGACGGTGACGCATGTGGGCTTGCTGCGGTTGGTGCAGACGGGTCACCTCTATTGGTTATAGTGGCTTATAAACCAACTTATAACTGGGGGGCCCCCTGTGGTGACTATGGTTTATTACATCTATTACGAAGGTGGTGCCCCAGTTCGTTAGCTAAGTTTGTTTATAACTCCAATAACTTATACAGTGACAAATGGCCATTGTGAACTGGGGCACGTATCTCTATCATAAACCATCTTGTACAACTTCTATGGTAGATATATCTTACTATGGTTTATACACCGACAAACGTCACTGGGGGGGGCACCACCTTGTACCAATGGTGGCGATTCAAACAGGGATAGGGAATGCATAAAATGGGAATGCCCATGCTGAAACAAAAACATGGACTTAAGATTTCAGCAATAATGTGGGTATATGACACAATAATAAACCATCCCCAACTCACAATGTTTATAGGTGGTATGTTTACTAATGTTTACCATTCCCAGTCATGGGTTGTAAAAATGGCTTTGTTTTACCCACATTAATCCCACTAATAATAGATTAATAGTTGGTTATAACCCACTATGATTCCAACCATTTTCCCATTGTTTTACCCACAATAGTGGCCATGGTTTATACCACCCCCCAAGACCTACATGTTGCATGGGATCCCTTCATGAATCGAGGGTCAAAACATGAGGAGACGACAATCCGCGACTTCCGGCTACCAGGCTCATGGTTCTTGTTAGTGAAATCCCATACAAATGTCAAGAAACATATCACCATAGATGTCCTTTCCCCATTGGTTGGTTGATTAATAGAGGGGTTTGAACAAACCTCTTTAACAACAGGTAAATGATGATAGATGGTATACCAAACCGGCCCCTCTATTTTTACCAAAAGGAGATTATTGCATATCATATCACATGTTATTATATTGTATGCCACCTATTATTACAATTATGTAACCCATCTTATGCCAATAATCCATTGGCAAATGATTTTCCAAGAATATCCAGTTCTAGCCCATTGTATTCCCATTACATTCCCAAGATTGTTGGTTTAAATAACCGATCAATTACATTTACTTGATTGTTAGTTAAATTCCATATCCAATCACAACATACACAACAATACATAAACCATAATCCATATACAGAAAAAACAAATCCACCACTCCATCCTTTCGCCAACTCCAACTCGCTAAGGTGAACGACTGCGCTTTGCCCCCACACCTTTTGGCCAACAAGGACGGCGACGGCCGCACCGTCGCGCACCTGGCCGCCGCGCGCGGGGACAACGACGTGTCGCTGCTCAGGTGCCGGTGAAGCAGGGAAATGGGAAGGTTGATGATCTTAAGGGCAATTTTGGTGAGAATATAAGAATATAACAATCTATATGATATGAATTATATACTGTATATATATATAGCTATATTTTAGTGGGACAATAGCAATTTCTTTTTGTTTGATCAGCAGTTAATGGCACTTGATGGGATTTACCGGCAAGAATGGGTGGATAAAACCAGCAATATGGGATTTGTGTCTTCAAAATCCCTGCTGGTTGATGATTATAGGTTTTACATAACCATCAACAATAAAGGGAAAATATGGGGATATAGATACATGACTATATATATATATGTGTGTATACAGTTAATAAATGACGGTTTGTTTATGATTGGGGATATTGAAAAGGGACAATACCGAGAAAATTTGGGGGTTGAAGCATTAGAGTGGTGATTTTTCCATGATTTCACATGATCTATGCAACACATTTCTTGCGATGTTTGCCTCGCAGGCGTGGGGCTTTGAGAATGCAAAGTCCGAGAAAACTGGGATTTGACCATGAAAATTCATGAAGAAACGGGATCTAAACAGCGAAAGGGCTCAGCAAAAATGAGGGTGGATTTAGAATCTTTAAGTTTTTTGGGTTTCAATTCTCAAATTGAATTGGGATGTAACATGCAAAACACTGGGCTGATCATGGGCATAGAGTCGACCAGACCGACGTACGCCTCAAGAAGGATCGCCAAACTCTTGAGCATCGGGGGATTGGATCAGCAAGGAATGGAGCTTGAGTATTGAGGTCACCTTTTTCTCCCGGAGTTTTATCAGCTAACATCTGCATTGGAACAGAAAAGGGATTGATTGAACCAATATACTATATATACATATATTCTATATACGCATATTCTATATACATAGATCTGCGTTTTGACTTAGCCGCACATTGTGTGTGTTCAGCACTAGAAAGCAACAAACTGGGTGGCAAGGGTTGTGAAACATGCCGTATCCACCACTAAAAATAGTCGATTCCACCATGAAACATACGGATATATACGGATATAACTTGTCAACCATGTCCTGGGTTGACCTGACACAAACAATTCCGGATTGAGGACTAGTTGCTACTACCAAGTTGGGTGTAGCCCCAATGGTTGGGGGCTATTTTTCATGGCTCAATGATGACCTTTACCCTGGGTTTTGAACTATGAAATTTGGTGGTTTGGAACATTTTCTATTTTTCCATTCAGTTGGGAATAATGATCCCAACTGACTTTCATATTTTGCAGAGGGGTTGAAACCACCAACCAGATGAAATTTGGTGGTTTTACTGGTTTTTCACCATCGACTACTCAGTTTACCGTGGCGGAGGTACTTGGTGGAGACGTGTCTGATGCCTGTGAAAGTGCTCGAGATGACCGACAACTGGACACTTGGCTACACTTCTTACTAGCGAGAAACGTAGGGAATGGATGGGCTGCTGGGGGTTGCTGGGATGATTATTAGTGATTATGGATCATTCCCGAAAATTCCTTGCGTTTAGCACCAGTAAGACTTGCCTTAGACGCTTGCTGTTTTCTCGTAGCTGTCGCTTGCTTGTCATATTATCGGACCCTTTTTTGGAAGCGTTGTTCGTTGATTTTTTGTAGCATCAATCTTTGGGGTCAACCCAACGAAACGCCATTTTGACCCATACCCATGTGAGCAGTGGCTGCTAAACCCCTGGAAGGGTTGATGATTAGTTGGGGGATTATACTACCCAATATATTGGGGATTCTAATAATCCAATAGGGAAATCCCTATAAACCAACCAGTATAATGGAATGATAGAGGAGTTCTCGGCCCAACACCTGCCAGCTGGTGGAACGGCGCTAGCCAATGGTTGGGAGGGTTGTGTAACTAGGGTAGCGCAATGGAGTCTGACTTGGGTCTCGAGCCAACCTGGAGCAAATGCAGGGAAGGTGACGTGGTGGACTTCTTGGCTGAGGTCATCATTCGGGATCCTTTAGATCAGAAGCATCTCCTTCTTTCAGCTGCTCACCGGACTTTTGTGACTGCCCAATGTGTTATCAATCAAGGCACAGTTTCATTGACAATTTTGGGAGGTACCGTTTCACAGGGCAAATCAGGGTTTCACATCAAAGATGTTGCACACGTGATGGAACATGTTATCCCTTCAACTGACACTTTGCGACATGGCATTGAAGTTTGCGCTGGGATCAGAGCCTTAGGGGAAGGTATGGAAGCCAACGGTTTTCAAATCAAAGTAGCCAATGACATCCGAGAGAAGTTCACGCAGTTCATGAATCATCAGGGTTTTCCCACAACAGTCACAGGGGACATTGGTTCTCATGAAGTTTTGATGCAGATCCATGAATGTCATGCAGCACCGACAGCTCTTGCTGCCGGATTCCCATGTCAACCATGGAGTAAGCTGGGGGACCGTAGAGGATCATGTGATGCACGAGCAGGCACCCTGAGATCCATCCTCAGGGCAGCCTACTTTCTGCGTTGCCACACAGTTTTGTTAGAGTGCGTCACTGGGGCAAGGGAAGATAAGAAAGTACTCCAACAACTGAAACAATGGTGCTCCATTACGAAGTTCAATGCACGAGAAGTCACTCTGGATTTGAATCAGATTTGGTGCGCGCACAGGCGACGTTGGTGGTGTTTGCTCACATTTCCGGGTTCGACACCCCCTCAATTGGAACCATTCCCAACACTTTCTGAGATTGTCAAAATTGGGGACATCTTACCGGCTTTTCCTCAATGGCCCGAAGACCATACCAGACAACTGGAGATTGGGGTTTATGAGTATCACAAATTTGAAGAATGTGGGGGGATTCAACCAAACCTCATCAATTTGGATACACAGTTGCGCACTTCATTGCATGGATGGGGAAACCAACTTGATCCATGTCCTTGTGGATGCCGACAATACCCAATGAATTTAGCCAGACTGCAGGCAAAAGGCCTTCATGGGGCTTTGATCCACCTTGGGGGAACCACAACCGCTGGTAATCAAGAAGTACCCAGAATGCGTCATATTCATCCATGGGAACTTAGTTTACTGCAAGGGTTGAACCCAAACAAGCTTTGGATGCCTCACCTCAAGCTTGCACTGGCGGGCCTTGGACAGATGGCAAGTCCCCTCCAATCAGGTTGGATCATGTCTCAATTGCGTTTTGCCAATGCGGATCTATCAGATGTGATGGACATACCCACTCCAGAACAGGTGCTCTGGAACATGATGACCCATCTGTTTGCAGCCAGAGACGCAATGTTTCCAGGCACACAGACTGTGCCACGAGTGCAAGCCGCATGTAAGATGATTCATGGCTGTTTGGCCACTGCATCCGGTAGTAGGACAGTCCCACGATTGCTGCCCGACACCGAGAGTGTTGCACCAACCCTGAAGGATTCATTTGACCAGTTGGACGAAGTGACCACTCCTAAGCATGGAGACACCTCACCAAGGCAGGGTCTGTCAACTGAGTCATTTCCAGGTCCGCCCAGGGGCAACATGTTGACCAGGTTTGCACACTACCAGGCAGAGAGTAGTGGCCAGATCCAACAGCCTACCTTGCCGCCTATGCAGACTGAACCAGCCACAGCCGAAGATTGGGCGCGGTTTGAATCATTAGATACCCCACATTCCATGCCTTCTCACTCCCCAAGGGACATAGAGAATTGGCAATCATTTGGGGGTATCCCTGGTTTTCAAGTCACCCCACAAACCAAGTCAGTAGATTTACTTGCTGGGGAAAGGGATGTCAAAGCAGATGACAGCCGACCGGATGCTTCTTTTCGCAGGTCACCACCCGTTGATGATCCTGAGGTTGCCGAACACACTGAGGTACCATCAGTTCAGCATTGCGCCCAGACCCCATCAGCGATCGGAATGGACCCTGCAGCCATCCAACCCAATGAGGCTAATGCTAGCACTGCGGCCGAAACCAATGTCAATCAAACGACTGCACGAACAGCCACATTTGGTGGCCATGCAGCCGAGGACGGGCCAAAGAGCCCAACACCCGCAGCATCCGATTCCGACCAGCATGGGGAGGTGCCGGTAGGAGAGGGCCATTCACCACCAACATGTCTTGGGATTTTGCGTCACCTGCAGCCGATCTCTGAACTTTCCTCCGGTAGGACCTTTTCTCATGGCACTGCATTACATGCCCAGGCATCCTTGGCCACCAGTGGTAGGACTAATTCTACAGCCTTGTCATCCGCCCATGCATTCGATGCTCACCAAAGTGTGAGCCCGACCCTCCACCATGGGTCTGAGGAGCTGGAATCAAACAAGAGATCCACAACCAGCCACCGGAGGGGACGGAACAACCCCAAAAATGAAGACCTTCAGGGCGAAAAACAGCCAGCGGGCCAGGCGCAAAAACTGGAAGAACACCACAAACAGCCAGGGACCAGGACCCCAGAACCTGAGAAGACCACAAAACAGCCAGGGCCCAGGACCCCAGAACCTGAGAAGACGACAAAACAGCCAGCGAGCAGGGCGCAAGAACCTGGACAACATGAGGCGATGGAGACGCAAGAACTCCCCCCTCCTATAGATTTGCATGCCAAGCCAACTGAGGCTTTTGTCCCTTTTGGCCCCTCCCCCACCCATGTGAGACCAAAGAGGCCAATCAGCCCGATGAGATCGAAGTTGAGCCAAGCAAACCTGCATCTCCAATTCATGTAGCAACACCTCCACCCAGTGAGGTGGCCAAGCAAGAGCATGATGACCTTGGGGTTGTGCGTTTGGTTTTCCCATTTAGCCAGGAACCCTTATTGCAGAAGATCCGCAAGCCTGCCACTGTTCAGAGTTTGCTCCTTGCTGAACAGGCTATGGGACACATTGGACCCAAAGCCATTGCGACTAACAACATGGGACATCAGCTGAACCTGCAAGCCCAGATTGAACCTTTTCAACAGATCCATTTTCATGAGACCACGCCGGTGACACCCTGCCCAATTGCAACCCAGGCAGGACGACATCCGAACCTCCATGGTCAGAACCTGCAGAGCAGATTTGAGCTGTTGATTCACCAACAATCTTGGGTGGCGGTAGATGAAATGAATTTTTATCTTTCCCAATTTCAGCACATTGCCAAATGTACCTTGTTGCCAGCCTTTCAGCTGCCAGCTGACCATGGCTACAACCAGGCCTTGACGGGAGTTGGAAAATGGGTCGAACAGTTGAGAGCTCACATCTCTGAAGGAACTGAGCCTGCCGCCTCTGCCTGCTTGATTGGACACCACTGGATCCCCTTTCTGGTTAGGCAACATGAGGGTCAGCTCATCATTCAAAGTAGTATGGATGGAGGGGAAATTTTGGCCGATATCCTTCATTTGTATTCCGATGATTTGAATTACCATGATCATGCACCGGCCTGGACTGCACTTGACCCCAAAATCCAGATTCGGGAGGTCCCGTATGAGTTCCAAGGGGATTGTGGATTTCAAACAGCCATATGGATCAGCAACCATGACTGCACAATCAGTGAATGCCAAGCCATCACAGCAAGCCAAGCATCGATTTGGCGTGACCATTTCCAACATCACATGCTGGTTACGGGTCAAGCCTATGCGACCATACAGACAGCCACATTCGCCCTGGGCGGGGCCAAAGCAGGGGAAACACTGGAACACAGCCTCGCAGAATTGCTCAGATCCCATGGGGTCCCCAATGATGCAGCAATAGATCGAGCCCAAGAGATTTTCCTGAAACTTGGCAGACAAGCCATCAGCCAAGTCATGCGAGCCCCTCAACCCTGGAGGGAACTCAAGGCCAAAGCCAATTCCCAACATCCGAAGGTGCAATTGGTCCACCCGTCAGAATTGCAAGATGCCATCCGAGCCCGAGCTGAAACTGGCAAACCTGTGGGTCAGGGTCGCAAAAAGAAACCGGCCCCCAAACAGCAGGTCAGATTGCAACCTGATGATGTGAGCATACCTGATGGCATCTTCCGTCAGGAGCCCAACATACCACTGCAGCAGCTGACGTTACCTCAGATTGGTCCAGATGCCCAGGGGGTTGTTGTCACTGATAGTGTAACAGCCGCTCCTTTCCTCAAGATGAAACAGCCGGTATCCAAACATGGCCTTGCACTGCTCATTCTCGACCATGCCGCACCGAGCATCCAGCAAATGGGAGAGATCATTCGATTCCCAGGACGTTGCACCAGAACATCCGAACCTATTCTGGCAGCTGCCAGGTTGCTGCAAATAGGAGCCAGCATTGTATCTCGCAATGAGCCTGTGCACAAGCGGACCATTGATGAGACACCCAACCGAGTAGTCCGACTACTGGCATTTCGGGATGAATGGGATGGGGACTGGACACAGTTCATCAAAAACCCAGTCAAGCAGATCTTGGGACATTTGCCCGAGCTTCAGACACCAGCCCAAGGAGAATCGTCCATCTTGGACTTATGGGACCGTCAATTTGTCACCCATAGGTTGGAAAGATCCAGCCCAGCATCGGCACAGACGTTTATTGTAACGGTGAGAATTGCTTTCACAGATCTGCAGCCATTGTTGAGCCACAACGGCAAGTCCGGTGTTTACCTTGAGCCCAGAACTGAAGACGGCCGTAGCCCAGATGCATCTTTTCGCGTCATTTGGCTACCCCAACATGATCGAAATGGCTTGCAGGCCACAGTGCAGACCAGCCCGCAATGGTGCTGCCTCGCCAGAAATGGGGTCAAGCATGGTCTTCGAACCACAGAAAGTTTTGCGGAAGCATTGCACAACCAATTCAAGCCAAGCACGCCCTGGATTGATTCATCGGCACTGCAAAGCTACACTGTGGGGCCTTTCCCTGCAGGATCCACTCGGGCTGCGATTTTGAAAATTTGCAAAGCTTGGGACTGGAATGCCAAACCCATCCAACCAAAGGCCAGGTCAGCTGATGGCAGAGGAGTGCTTTGGCAACTTTTAGCTGCCAACATGCCAGGTAGTGAAGTCTACCAGCTTGCCCATGGTGACGTCCTCGTCACACCTGACCCTCCTAAGAAAGCAGCAGGAGCAATCGCATCCACTGATGTGCAAGCCAGCGCAAAGACACTGGCAGTTTTGGCAAAGACCCCTGCAGTAGAACCCACCGATGATCCATGGGCCCAGTATGACCCCTGGTCGATTCCAGCCAAAAAGAGCCGAATGACACCACAACCAACGGTCACCAAAACGGACCTGGAGGCGATGGAACAGAGAATGGATCAGAAGATACGAGCTACTGCTCTCAAGCCGGAATCTGAAGATTCTTCCATGGGCATCGATGATGAAAGGGTCACTCAGTTGGAGCACAGAATGAACCAATTGGAAGTCAGCATGCAGCAGCAACAGCACACTGTGCAAAGCCACCACACTGAAGTCCAACAGCAGCTCCACCAAATGCGCAACCAAGTAGAGCAACAGGGGACCACTTTCCATGCCCTGTTGGATCAGCGATTCACAGAACAGCTCAGTGAAATCGAGCGCATCATGGCCAAACGGCCTAAAACCAACGAGTGACAAACTGGGCCCGCCAGGTTCACAGTGCCGAGCCCGCTGACCTGGTTACAGACCCTATTATCATGGCTCAGTTTTGCATTGACACCATGTCATATGCCCACACCCAAGCCACGAACCAAACCAGGGATTTTGTGGTTTTTTGCAATTTTTCTGTTATCCTTTTGTCGGATTGGAGAAGCAGCTCATCCAGGACCCACGCCTGATGGAGAATTTGCATTGGGATGTGCCAACGCCAACAACCTCCTCAGTAAAGCCGATATGGTTGCGAAACTTCCAGGGGGTATTTGGGTTTTTTCTGAAACATGCCTCACCCATGGAGGCATTGAATACTTTCAAAAGAACTTGAAAATGCAACCTGAAAACGCAGGTATCAGATTTCTGCCGGGAGCTCCAGCACCACGAATCAGCTCCAATGCAGCCTCCATTGGCGGCAAACATGTGGGGGTAGGATTTTGCACCAAATTTCCAGCCAGGCCACTGACAAACGATTGGTCTCCTGAGACCTGGACATCGCACGGGTCCAGACTGCAGGCATACATGTTGGCCAATGGATCAGGGGTGGCATAGCCTATGGGTTTGCAAAAGATTGTCACACCCCTAAGGTCCTTGCCCAGACGCACGATTTGCTGCAGGCCATCACCAGTAGGATTGTTCTCCAAAGCCATGGACCAAGATTCCTCATGGGCGACTTCAACCTTGAAACTGACCAGATTGAACTTGCCCAGTTTTGGCAAGACCATGGTTTCGTTGAAGCGCAAACATTTGCATACCACCAATGGGGCCAAGAACCACAAAAGACCTGTAAGAATTGCACTATTAAGGATCATCTATGGCTTTCCAGAGAGCTGTTGCCCTTTGTGCAATCGGTCACCGTCGACCCCACATGGTTTAGTGATCATGCATTGCTCTACGTAACACTCAGTCCTCTAGGACCTATGGAACATGTGCCCATATGGCGACGGCCTCATGCACTGCCGTGGGAACAAGCTCAAGAGCATTTTGCCACTTTGCCGGCCATTGAAGGGAAGCCTGATCAACCAGAATTCTACAGGGCCCTGTGGCAGCATCTTGAAGATGGCCTTGACAGTCACCTCCAACAAGCCGCCCTTCCAGGATTGACACCCCAACAGCGGGGCCGAGCCTGTACCACTGAGGTAATCTGGGTTAGAAGGGAAATCCCACCACTGAAAAGATCCCGAAAATCAGACATTCAGATCCAATTTGCAGGTGACCATTGGCAGCATTTTCACTGGACGCGCCAGCTCCGACGAATCCAGAGTTATTGCCACCTTGTCAAACCCAGACAAGACGGGACTAGACCCATGCAAGAGATCCAGAAACTCTGGCGGTCTATCTTAACTGCACCCGGATTCACCAAAGGCTTCCGGAAGTACTGGCCCACAAGGGCAGTACAAGCAGCGGGCACCCTGTCTGAGATTCCACGAGCCCCCCCAGACTATGAGGCCAGTACTCGTCTTCTGGCAGGATTTCTTGCTGATTTTACGGCCATGGAGAAAGCCCTGATCAAGCATAGACGGGTTGAAGCCCGAAAGAGCCGCCTTGCAGACCCACATCGAATCTACAAAGACACCGCCCAACCAAGGGCCATGCCTGTGCAAACATTATTGACAAGCCTCTCCACCACCGTTGAAGCAGCCACGGATGATGGGCAAGTTAGCTATCCAGCAGGGGACTTGGACTTAGACTTGCCTGTCTTCGGCCCCAATGGACCACTGCTTATGGCCCAACACCAGCAAGGCCTCATCTTGACTGACCCAGACACCATCCAGCCTGGTGATTGCCTTACCCAAGAACGATGGTTAGCCAAACGAGCCGACATGTTCACCCAATTTGCCGACCTTTGGACCAAGAAATGGGACAAACACAGACACACACCAGAAGACACATGGCAACCGTTCTGCCAGTTTGTTGAGACCCATTTGCCTCAACCACCTGAGGACATGCCATACCATCCTATCACGCTTCAGGTGTGGATGAAGGAAGTTCAACGGAAACGATCCTCCACTGCAGCAGGACCTGATGGTGTTTCCAAGCAGGATTTGATGAACATGCCTGTCAACCTGACCAATCAAATGCTGGAGATGTTTTGGCATATCGAACAGGGCGCCCCATGGCCCATTGAACTCCAGACAGGGCTGATCACAGCAATCGAGAAGCATCAGCATGCAGCCGACCCATCGGCATTTAGACCAATATGTGTGCTATCACTGGCATACAGAGTGTGGTCTTCAATTCGCACCAAAGAAATCTTATCATGGCTTGCAAAGTTTTCCCCACCAGGGTTGATTGGAAACAGATCAAAGAAAGAAACAATGATCGAGCGCACATGGTATGATGACACCTCCATCCATGGATGCATAAGTGACATTGTCAAGTGTTACAATTGCTTGCCGCGCATACCGGTGATAGCCATTGCCAAACGCATGCGAATCCCCAATGAGATCCTCTCGCCTTGGATTAGAGCTATCACGGCATTGGAGAGGAGATTTGTGATCACAGGTGGAGCTGGCCCTGGTCTGAGATCTACCACGGGCTTTCCTGAGGGTGATCCTCTCAGCGTGACAGCAATGTACATGATAAATTTGGTGCTGTTTCAATGGGTGCAGTTGGCCACACCAACCATCCAACTCTGGACATTCGTCGATAACATTGAGACTACTGGCTCATCCCCAGAAGAAGTCTTAGATAGCCTCACCAGTATCGACGAGTTCTGCACCATCCTAGACATCCAGCTGGACACTAAGAAAACCATATTCTGGGCCACCACCACACAGGCCAGGGAATACATGAGGCTCTCAGGCCAGACCGTGGTCTATGACACCAAGGACCTTGGAGGCCAAATGGTTTTTTGCCGCCGGCACACCAACCGGGTTGTCCGTGCCAGGCCCAATGACCTCACTGACTTCTGGCCGAGACTTGCTCGCAGTCCAGCACCAATCAGCCAGAAGGAACTCAGCCTTCGTGTGGCCGCTTGGCCCAAAGCCCTTCATGGTATCAGCACGACTATTTACGGCAGTGATCACATCAACAAGTTGCGGACCCGTGCTTTGCGGAGTTTAGGCTGGACCAACAAAGGTATGCATCCCATGCTCCAGTTGTCATGTCTCAGCGATGTCAGATCTGATCCAGGCTATTGGTGCATGTGGCAGACTGTGATCTCTTTCAGACGTTTTGCTGATCCTTTACCCAGTTACGAAGTCATGGATTACTTTGTTTTGCATCCAGAGAAACGCATTGATCCGGGACCATGTGGAGTGCTGTTTCAGCGACTTCACCAAATTGCATGGGTTTGGCTGGGGGAAGGATGGTTTCGGGACCACCAAGGTTTTGACATTCACATTTTTCATTCACCTTTGCAGCTTTTGAAGTCCCGACTTAAACATGGTTGGCGAACGTTTGTCTGTGCAGTTGCCGCAGAAAGGAAATCCATGCAGGGTTTAGCTCGAGCTGATGTTGAATTTGTTTCCCACCTCTTTCAACAGCTTGACCCTCATCAGCAGGGATATGTGCGGTATGCTCTCAATGGTAGCTTTTACACACGTGACAAACTGAAACACAGTGGAGTAGTTGAGGAAACTAGCTGCATTTGGTGCGATGCAGAAGACTCTGTGGTGCACCGCCATTGGCATTGCCCCCACACACAAGATGCCAGGTCCCAATTGCCACAGACCTTGCTGCTTGCCGTTGATTCCTTGCCAGCATGCACATTGAACCATGGATGGCTCACTCTCCCAGAGGAGCTACATGTTTTCCAGCAGTTTTTGATTGACACACCAGATCGTTCCAAACAATTTTGTCCAGTGCCGGCTCAAGCCCATGTTGCCAACATCTTCACAGATGGTAGTGCCTGCCTCCCGAACGACCCACTCCTGCGGGTTGCCACCTGGGGGGTAGTCATTGCTGACCTGGAGACAGACACCTTTCCTGTCCTTGCCCAAGGAGGAGTGCCAGGTCTGTTGCAAACAGTTTTGAGGGCGGAGATTTGGGCCACCATTGCTGCTTTGGAATGGATAATCGCCAAACAAATACCAGCCATCCTTTGGGTTGATAACCAACAAGTACAGGTTCAGTTGGAAGCCTTCCGCCACGGTGCCCTGCCCTGCACCAACACAGGCAATGACCATGATTTGTGGCACCGAGTTGCCGAATTATGCCATATTGCCACAGCCAAATCCCTTTTAATTAAAGTTGTCAAAGTGACTTCCCATGTTGATCCTCACACCCTCAGTGAGCCCATCGAAGCATGGGCTACCCGAGGAAATGCAGCCGCAGACCGAGCAGCTGAACATGCACAAGCCGTTTTTCCAACTCAGTTTTGGCAGGTTTGGGAAAACCTGCGCCAATTTTACATACTGCGCAAAGAATGGTGTCTTGCATTGTTTCATTTGTTTATTACAGTAGGTCAGAAGGCCCAATTGCAGAAGCACTCGGACCCTGGCAGTGTCGTGACAGTGAGCAATGCCCCGGCACCACCGGTCGATAACACAGATTGCATCTTCACACCATTCCCCCTTTGGGCGACACGAGATGATGAAATCCAACTGGGTGAATGTGGAGAGACATTTTACAACTGGCTGCGATTTCTATGCTGTGACACATCAGCCACACCGCACTGGATGTCCTCATACCAATTATTAGTACACTTTCAACAACACACAGGTCTGGCAGGTCCTACATGTGTACATAAGCAATGGTATGATTGGGAGACTAGACCAGATCAAGATAGGGAGTATAGCTTCACTCAACAGGCAACTTGGCTCAGTCATTATGTACGGCGACTTGGAACTGCCTTTGGTTTGGAGCTTAATCCCACGCGTTGTCGCCCTTCAGGAAGCTCCATTGCAATGTGGACGAGATGTTACAAAATGAATATCTCAGCAGCTGTGGTTGGTGGAATTGACCGATGGATTTTGACGTGCGTAGGACAACCCATTACCAAAGTGGGGAGACAATTTCAGGGTATAACCACCCCAATACGGGGAGGTTAGCAGTTTTCATTGGCTATCTTCGTAGCTTTTCACCTGCGTGAGATGACACAGCCTAATGAGAAACGGAGAAATGGAATGATAGAGGGATTTTGACCAATACCCATGTGCCAAAAGCCAAAAATCATCCAAAATGTTTAGGCCCAGCTGGAGCCAATAGACGGTCGCTTTGTTGTTAACCCGCTAGGGAGATTTTGACTGACCTGAATCCTTGAAGTGCAAGCAACAACAATGTGGAGGCGGTGGTCAAAGCCAAACATGTTTGAACATGCGCCGGCAATGTTCTTTTGTCCCTATGTTGATCAATCTAGTTAATTCCATTGTGCTTGAATTGTCGTCCATTCCCTCACCCCGTATCTTGCATTGCTGTTTTAGTCAGATTTGGTTAAATCTGATTTATTGTGGCTGAAAAGCATAGGTATTTGATAGTATTTGTGTGTTGATTGAAGGATGAAACCCACATGTTGCATGGTTAAATCCACTTTTTCCCGCCAATTAGTTCATTTTTTTCAGGATAAGGATGGATAAGGTATGTTACAATCCGCGCTTCTGTTGCTTACATCCATTGTTTTGCTCTTTGCATCATTTTGAATCCATTTACAGAATTTTGCTGTTTCAACCTGCATTTTCCCATAGTATGTTTCATATGTTTTTGTTTTTTGTTCATGTTTGTATATTCCATATTTTCCAACATTTGCTGGTTCAACCTCAATTTTCCCATATGTTTCATATGTTTTCCATAATTTACCCATATGTTTTACCATTTTTCTATAAGTGTTCCATATTTCTTGGCATTTTCTCACATGTTTCCCACCTTTTCCCACAATTTTCCACATTTTCCCACAATTTTCCACATGTTCTTACAATTTTACCACATTTTTCCAACATTTTCCCAACATTTTTCCACATTTTTCCCACATTTTCCTACAATTTTCCTACATTGTTCCACATTTTTCCGACATTTTCCCACAATTTTCCTACATTTTTCCACATGTTTCCTTCATTTTCCCACAATTTTCCTACATTTCGCCACAATTTTCTTACATTTTTCAACATTTTCCCACAATTCTCCTACATGTTCCCACATTTCTACATTTCTCCCCGTTGCAACCCCCTTTTTCGCCGCCGTGGTCGGCCGGTGTTCACCGCGCGGCCGTTGGCGCTTTCCGCGGGAACTGGTGGTCCAAGGCATCGCACGCCGGCGCACGATGCGGCGGTGGCGGATGCGTGCTTTGGCGAGATAGGTGGATAGGTTATTTAGTAATGGTATTCTGGTTGGTGGTGTGGAACTATGGTTAATGGTTGCTATATAAGTGGCTTAACTATGGTTTATGGTTGATATAACTATAGTTAATGGTGGTATCTAGTAATGATATTTGGAGACATGATATACCATAACCATAAATTTATAAATGTGAATGGGTTTTGTGGGATATGATATAGATATACCATATGATTTACCATGTTATACAGTGTATATATATATATATTATCTGGTTGGTGGTTTGAAACATTTTGTTTTTCCATTCAGTTGGGAAGAATCATCCCAACTGACTTTCATATTTTTCAGAGGGGGTGAAACCACCAACCAGTATTTATTATAAGTGCATTTCCACTTATAGTAATGATTCATGATACTTATAGTTAAAGTTATTATTATAATTCCCCATTTATATGAGAAGATATAATGTGTATATGTGTTATAGCTGGTTGGTGGTTTCAAACATTTTTTATTTTCCATATATAATATATGGGATAATCCTTCCCATTGACTAATATTTTTCAAGATGGTTAAAACCACCAACCAGTATAAGTTTTGATTTATAATGGTATGTATTTATAGTATTACTATATATGTATTATTTTTATAGTGATATTACATAGTAGGTTATATGCATGGTTATATTAGCTATATAATGGTATATTAGTTACCAGATAGGTTATATACTGTGTAAGATTGTATTCGTATCAATTATATATAATTTAGTATTATTCTGGTATTTAATATTACATATCTTAAGGCAATACAGTACGAACTGAAAACTGATATATGGTATTTCATAACTATATATATGTTGGCTATTAATAATATTTTTTGTTTATATATGGCGTATATTCGTGATACTATTGATTAATGAGATTCAACACATAATTGGGGGATACAGAGTGTGTATATATATATATTCATTAATTATGCAGTGGATAGGGGTTAGATTTATTATATACAATTATATATATATACATTACTGACAGGGCTATATATATATACATATTACATATACTTTGTACATGTTTATATTTTGCTATATATATACATATTATTGTCATACATGCTGTATATATTATTGTCATATACTGTAGTCATATATTAATTTAGATACTATCAAATGTACGCCTATCGTCTAACATCAATCCATATATATATATAATACATATTGACAGGAGCATGTAAATATGTGCATAATAGCGGGTGTACACAAATAGAGGTCATTCATACAAATGGGGATATGATAATGATTAATTAATAGAAACGGTGATATTATATAGGCATCATGTAGCTACAATAGGCATCCAGATGGGATATGATTTCATTCCCTACTTTTATTTCTGATGCGGTGGAGATATACGACGCATGGAAGTTTTCAGTTTTTCGAGTTTCTACTCGGGGGGTTCCCTTAAAATGTCATCCATGTTTTTTTTGGTAAACCATAGCACTAAGTAGTTCATATAGGTATTAGCAATTATCTATCTATCTATCTATCTATATCTATATATATTTATATATATTATATTGGCTATTAGTATTTCATGACTCTATAAAACTAAACGTTTTGAGTTTTCTAAACCATCCAGCTATTGGGGTACCCCATGACTTTGGAAACCGTCACTTCTCCGTTGAGCTAGCCAGTCCCCTATTCAAGTCTTCTCTGAGTATCCCCTGTTCACGGACCTACCTCTTCACTGAGCCACATTGATGGGGTAATTATTTGGTACTGTCAATAGGAATCCCAGGATCCTAAAATGAAGGTACTGTACCATATAAGACCATATTTTGTGGTGATATTCACGTACATAGGCCTTATATAGGCCTTATATATGGTAGGTACCTCCATTTTAGGATCCTGAAATTCCCATTGATACTGTGGACTGTGGATGGAAAAAATCCTGCACCAGTTGAGAACTATTGGTAAGTATGAAGCGCTGCAATTAATGGGTTGTAACGGTACCATCAATCAACTGGCGCAGGATTTCGCAACCATCCACAGTATCATCTTTCTTTTGGACAAACCAATGTACTTATAACATCTTATACCCTCTGGTCATTTAACATAGCTATTGAAAATGGCCATAGAAATAGTGGATTTACCCATTAAAAATGGTGATTTTCCATAGTTACGTTAGTTTACCAGATGGTAACCCTATTAGTGGACTCAATAGTCTTGCCCTCCTACGGATTTATTAGTGAGAAACCACCAACTGCAAACCCTGGGGATACTGGATTTATTTTGCCCAATTCAAAAACTGAGGAGGGGCGAGCCCCAACAAAGATGTGTATGGCAGGAATGATAAGTGGTCCATACCCCACATGTAGTGGTGGCAAACTGTGGCAAACTATTCATGCTACACTGGTTTTACATGGTTTTCGGCATGAATTTCCTATATCCATCTTGAAGTGCGGCAGGGTGAATTCGAAAGTTCAGCTGTTTCAGCAGACAAAGCAGACAAATCATCAATCTGGGCAAATTATAACGAACTCACTGCGACCTCACTGGAATCATGGTTAATAAGAGGAGTCATCATCCCAAAATGGCCTCATTTCAGGTTAGTGAATTAATTAATATAATTTGCCCGGATGTCTTCAAGCTGTGAGAAATTGCCAGAGCGTAAACTGTGAACTCTGAAGAGTATATCATTGGATTGGTTTGAGGGGAAATTTACAGGAAACCCGCATATTGAATCAATGGTAAAAACCATGGTTTCCTGTATATTTTGTAAATGGGTTCACTTAGAGTACCCATTGGTTAAGTAACAGTCTGCTATGGACAATCACAATTTGTTTATTTGTAAATCAACGAACTAAATGGCCATTTTCCATTCTTAAATTACCAGAGGGTAACTTAAATTACCAGAGGGTAACTTTTGCCCGTCATTTAGAACTTGGCCCATCAAGGATCTTGGTCACGTCAGTTAGAAGTTGTGCACGCTGTAGCATTGTCATGGCATAACCATCTTTTTGCAAGTGCTAGGACCGCTGGGACTCTACGCTGTGAACTTTCTCAAGTAACTTCTCACACGCTCGCCATGCTACGCCTTAGACTTTCTGAAGCAACTTCCCACACGCGATTATGCTATATTATGCTTGCCCTGAACTATCTCAAGTAAATTTCCACCACGTCTTTGATGCTACGGTGTGAA